ATTGGCTGCTGAGCCCGCGTTGATATACCTCCTTCTGACGCAATTACTTCAGAGTAGAAACTCCTCAAGAGTACCAAAACGAAAAGCAGCATTTAGTAATTGTCTATAAAGTACAGTACGTAGAATTGAGTAATAGTCGACTCTTTTTACGGGTTCACCGGCGCAATAAACTACGCGGGATGTTGCCGGCTAACGCCTAGCCCAACGGCTAGTGATTTACAAACTTTTCGGTAAACGCACAGAAAGAGTGGTCTATTGCTTTTATGGAATAACTATGGAAAACGTTTGTCAAAGAGAGAAAAATTAAATGTTATTGTATTTGATCAAGTTTCTTATTCTCATCAAAATTCATGAGATGATGTGGCAAACCTATCACAGCGACTTAAAGAATGAAACACTGTGTAATAGGTAAAAAGCACGGTACAATAAAATATAGGTCTGGCAACTGTACTGCCCAAACATAGCGCGCATAGTATTTCAGTTATTTTATAACATAAATAGAGTTAGAAGCTTACTTGTTATTGCTCACTCCCATCCAAAAAACACATTGTCTCTTTCCTTTGAAGGCCTGAAAACAGATTTATTCACGTTTAAACCGAATAAAAACAGACAAACCAAATTTAACCTTTTTGTTACCTTAAGGTTTCTGAACTTTAGAATGACGTTTTCCTTCAACTGTTGCGGCTTGGGATGCATTGTAGCTACCATTATCATTGTGTTGATTCGCCTAAATAGAATGTGGATAAACGAATATGCTTAGTTGATGCTAGGTCTTGGTACTGCTGAAAAGCCGGAACTCTCGCCGTTCCTACTAAACCTATTGAGTTGTCTTGCCTAAGAACACAACGCTATGTCCCCAGCCCGGACCGTTCGACTCGGAGACGAGCGCCCTAACCATGTGCCCTGCACCGCGCCTCCCACACACTTTGAAATAAAGAGTTAATAAACCCCGGCGCCATTTAATTGGGAAAGTACGTTAATACTCTGGAAATAAAAAATATCCTTCTCCCCATCATACAAATCCCAGCTGCGACTTGCATTATCAGACAAAAAGACCTTCATTGAAAAACTGCGAAAGCAATAACAAAAAGTTCTTTCGCAATGTCGAATCCGGGTTTCGATAACTTACCTGGTGTTTTCATTTTCATCGTCGTTGAGGTGATTTGTTATAAGTAGTTCATGGAGATCCTTGTATAAGATACCAACTACCAAGGACCCTAGATTGAACTCAGAATGGATTAGATTCCTAGACTATAGTTATGACTTGTCATGACTCAGTATAAGAATGGTATTTATAGGTTCAATTGTTCAGCGCTTGATCAGAGCAGGAGCAAGCTATATGGCTAATAATATATCAATATGGTACAAGATGGCATAGTGAGAACAAAAGCCGATATTGTGGTTTATCAATCAAAACTAACATGGACTAAAATGAAGATTAAAATAGTTTACACAGTTTGAATGGGAGAGCATGAACAGATAGGTTTGAATAATTACTGTAATTTTGAAACACAAATTTTGTTTACACAAACCATTGTTGTCGAAATTCAGTGACGGAACTTTGATGGTGTTTCGTCCTCTTTTTTCCTCGAGATGAAAATCGCTTGCATTTTGGTGGAAAACTCGATGAATACGCAGAACTGTGGAGCGAGAAGAAAAGAAAATGGAAATGTTATCCAATAAGTGGTTGTACAAGTTGTTATACTACAGCAGACAATTTCTACTAGGGGAGATGTTATCGAATGAAAATAATACGCACTACTTATAAATGTTAGTTTGAATCTGTCACGCTTCCGACAGTTAAGTCTTAGCAATATACCAGCCATAAACGACATAATAACACAAAAAAGTAAAAAGGGACACTCCTTGTGACACTTAAATGGAGGAGTAACCTTAGAGAATTTCAATTTTAATTTTTTCAAAATCTATGGCTTCCATGGAACATGTTTCTTGCACGACTCAGATACACTGCAAAAGCAGATTATATAATTTTCACTCACAAAGCTTGCTGTTTGTATTGTTTATGTCAGGCTTTGATTTACTGAGATGGTAATAGCCATAACGTTGGACAAATTCCTCAAAGGCAACTGCCGCCTGAAAGATAACTTCCCTCCGTATTCCGTTTCCTACTGTTGTAAACAGTTGCCCTTCATGGTTGCCAATTATATTTTTGTATTGCTCGTTGACGTTTTCGAACAAGCTGCTGGCCTCCTGCAAATACACAAGCACATTACGCATTACGGCATTCTTTCAAACTGGTTTATATTGTCAGAGACCTACTTATAGTTAACAATGGTAACTGGACTGAGTGAAATCCAATTCGGTTTGCAATCATGGGAGTGACTAACATCGAACTACCGCTGACGACCGCGCAGCAGTGAGAATAGACCAATTTCGATATATTAAAATTCAGCCTAAAACAATAGACCCCAGTACGAGGCTCTGGGGAATAACTACAGAGTTTGTGAGGTTTATTCCCCAGAGCCTCGTGCTGAGGTCTGTTGTGTTAGGCTGAATTTTAATATATCGAAATTGGTCTATTACCGAAGCAACAGCAATCACAGCGAGTAATCACGGTGTGATTACAGAGATTACGCAGCGAGATAACAGACATAACTGGACGGCATGAAGCCCTGCTATCAATTTATTAAAACCTGACAAGATTTGATGAGTACAACCATCGGTTATACCTCATGATTATACCTCATACCTCAAAATAAAATAGAAATTTTAGCAGTTGAGTCTGTTTTGGCCAAGATGCACATGTGCAAGAATTGTAAGTACATCTGTCCAAGAAGGAGTGCGTGCAAAATGACGCATAATGTCCAATTACAAGCATAACGTACACTGTCAAATGACACTGTCTAATTAAAGCGCGACGAACACTGCCATATTTGGGCTAAAATAGGGCCTGTTGATAACTAATCAGATTTGTGAATTTTCTTAGAGATTTCATTGATAATATTGAATAATTATTACGTAGAGGTACGTGTTTTTTCAGGGAATTTGAATAATATTAAGGTAGTAAACAAAACGGGTACCTGTAAGGAAGTATCTTGTCGGAAATCCGTTTTGTTCAATTTGGAAATGAATTGACTTGTCTAGGATAAAGAAAGTAAAAGTTATCTTCATGATGTGTCAAGGTTGATTATATTTACAAACAAGCTAGAAGGTATATAGATATCATCGGTCTTCAAACGGCTAAACTTTGAGTAATATATTTTCTTACATCTTACATCTTACCTTAGTTCTAGAGGTAATTTTTCACAGCTAATTTTAAAACCTAGGTGATGTACTGCAAACTATGCATAATTAAATAACGTCTTCACACTTTGGAGAAGTTGAAGAACAGCAAACAAAGAGTCAATTTCTACTAACAGCCTCACAATGCTTACTAGTTCTTCTGGTGATATTATGGGCGATGATGTTGGTAACAGTGGTAACGGTGATGTTTTCTTTTTCAATAATGATGTCGCTGTTGCTTTGTTTAGCATTGTTGTCGCTGTGAGCGTTGTTAATGGACTCGACACAGATAGTGATGATGATGACGATAACGACAACATCAATGATGCTGATGCAAATAATGATGACGGTGGGGATGAGGATTGCTTTAAGGGTGAAGATGCTGTGGCCACCGATATTGCGGCTGCCGAAGAGAACCGTGCTGATGCAAATGGAGATGATGCTACAGGTGGCGACAATGACGTTGACGCTGCCGCTACTGATGTCGTCTCYAATGATAAASAAGGCAACRATGCCGCCGTTGCGGTTTCTGTACGTGAATGTAAAATTCCATTACCAAAATAAAACAGAACTAGATATAAACAATGCAGGTCAGCTCATTTCGAAACTACCCGATTACTACTAGAGATTGAGACCATCGAAATGATATGGAAACGAGAGTTTGACGTGCCATGTGGGACGTGTAACATGTATAATCTGACAATGATTTCCTCTTGTAATCCAATCAGAAATCCTGAGCAACGTTAAAATTGCCGGTGCTGGTTAAAATATTTCCAACTTCAAAAGTATTCGAGCAATAAAACTCAAACTTTTTGACCCTCGTGAAACTAATTAGAATCAGTTGATACACAGGTTTAAATCCAGTGCGTCCATGTACAATTTTATTCAGTTAGAAATACGGTTTCCTTTCTAGCAATAGAGCAGACGACGGGGCTGGGGGTGGGGGCGGTGGTTCTAAGAATTTCAGACAGTTATGCAAACTCGGCGAGTCGAAGTCGAGGGTTAGCATAACTCGAGATTTCTCTAAAACCCCAAGTGTTAACAACGGTTTATGTAAACATGGAAAACGCACTAAGAAGCTAAAATGTCACAGCCGTGTTTACATACTCTCACAGGTATAAACACACCTATCGACCAATGAGAGCACGCGTGGTATCTCAGTTATTTTTGTAAATAGCAACCGATTAAGTTTTTTCCATGTATTGCTGTTGCTTTTATATACCAGAAGAATAAATATTGAAAGACTTGAATAGCTTCCACACAGTATTACCGTTAAATTTTTTTTCTTGAATATGGTCATGCCAACAAAACTATTGGTCACCTTGGCTTTTAAAATTAATAGGTAGAATAAGTTTGAGTTTCAATTGAATGTGGTAATTAAGTTCGTTAACATACACTAACTTTACAACTTATATTCTTACCTCTACCTGAAAGGTATTTCACGGCCTCGATCTGTTGTTCAGTCAAAGAGAAGTTATAGACCTGCATGGCGGTAATTCGCCCCTTAAATTTGACGGTATTTTGCCACCTTTTGAGGAATATCGCGCCCATTCTGACGGCCCTATATCCAGTAGCACGAGGCCTGCCATTGGCAAATTTTGTTTTCGCGGCTATTGTTCCATTTACCCACAGACTTACTTCATTCTTATTATGATCGTACGACGCTCCAACATAATGCCAATGATTTGATCCTAGTCTTTCTGATCGTATGTCTGGTGAGGACTTTCCTTTGAAATACGAGGCCAGCTTGGCGTTTCTAATAGCCATACCAAAAAACTTATCACTATTAGTTTTATTGTAATAAACGAAGAGAGGACCTGAAAAATTTGAGGACTTTGAGATATAAACCCAACATAACATTGTGATAGAGTGTCGGGCGTCCAAAGTTCCCGCATTGTTGGGAAATTCAATGTAGCTGTCTTCTGTTCCGTGGAACTGATAAGAGCCATTGGCCTTACCATCTGGTCCATCTGCTAGAGACACATTGTTACCAGGGTTACCCTGGGGTTGTCGACAATCTTTTTCCTTTGTTGCATACTGGTCGTTCAATGGATACATGGCTATGGGTTCTGGAACACTGAAGTCTTAAAGATTGAAAAGAAACTGACAAATTAAAAACACTTCTGATTGGTTTCAGGATGTTATATTAGTTACGGAAAACGTTAAGCTAAGCTATTGGCGACTAAGGCCTTGTTGACACTTGGTGCCCGATTACAGTGCTTAAGCACAATTCTCGCTGGGCACTAGTGTGAACACACCGCTTTACCAAGTACTCACACCAGAATTCGGAAACATTACCCTGCCTGGGTACAAGGTCTCGACCCTATACTCGGGAACTAAATGGTACTTGGGTACTTGGAGTACCAATGTCTGAACGCAGCACTAGTTTTTGTCGTTGCCCAGGCACCAGTGCTCGAGCACCAAGTGTGAAAGCAACCTGAGAGAAAAAAGAAAGAAAGAAAACAAACAAAGAAACAAACGAGGTCTCAAGCATGCTATGTCTTACCTCCATTTTGGCTCCCTAAACTTTCGATAACTATATGAGATGATAAAAAGGAGATAGAATGAGTGATCTTTTCTTTGCTGAACCACTATTACGAGAAAAAGAAAGACAAACAAACAAACAACAACAAAATAAACCCTCCAAACAATTTTTCGTGTATAATATTCCCCGGCAATATGTCAGACGAATCTTTTGTAGGCGTTTATCCGCTTAGGATATAAAAAAATAAGCTGTTATTCTATTCACCTCATTCTGTTCGTACTAAATTTACGTGCCAGACAGCTGTTGTGAACCTATTCTTGTTACTGTTTGTCTTCCATTGTTATTTCATGGTGTAGCTTCGCAACTACTTAAGTTTTTGGTTTCTGATCACGGCTAAAGATCGCTATGTGATGGGATTTCCCTGAAGTAAGCTAAAGCGAGTCTGAAGTTAGTATGCTCATCATATTTCATTATATTAACAGCTTGTATCAGTTCTGCCGATATTTAGCTGGATTTGAACAATAAGGATATCAAAACATTTACATATTTCCAAGGCGATAACTAGATATTATATTTATCTTTGTAATTTTAAAATGGAATAAATAAATAAAATGAAAAAAAAAAAAATGATATTACATATTTCATCCTTTGAGAATACCAGAAAAACAGGAACTTCATTTCTGTTATATTTAACGTACGTATCATCTCACAGGATCTTGAAATAAACAATTGACTTCCAATATTTTACAAATTAGGTGTCTCGGCTGAGCTGTTATCAGGCACAGCCCTGATTTCCATAAAGTACCGTTCTTGTAATGCACACAAAAAAGGACATTTAAAAAATCGTTGCGACTAGTTAAGCAGTCGACCCCATTTGGTATACCCGCTCGATGTGAAACGTTTTTGCAGGAACATCTGTCACATCACAATGACACAACCCCAGTCAGGCTCCTACTATACTTCACTCTTATTGCTTGTTAACCCGCCACTAACGACAACGACACCTGTCATATAAAACGCTGATCATGACTTTAAATAGCTTTCTATAGTAATTTATATTATTCACCAGGCATTATTTCGTTAATTCAGTTTTTAATTTTTGCTCTTTTTGAAAAAGTCTGACCTCTTAAGCTGGTGGAAAACCGCGTGAGCTTTGTAACTCAAAGTATTTTGCCATTCAGCGAAAAGAAACCGCAAGTTAGCGAAGCAAGCAGAATCCCGCCTGTTATATTACTGGTATAACATGTCTCCCTTATAGCTTCCTTTCATCGAATGTTTACAGCACACAACTGGTAAAGAAATGTTCTCATATCTTAACTACTATACAGAACTAACCACAAAAGTCGATACCGAACTTCTCTCCGTATTATATTTGCATCATATTTGCTCTTTATGCGTTGTAAATAGTCATATCCCTGAACTACTTGCATCTTATTAAAGCTAACTTTGGTATAATTAAATTAATTGAGAAAACATTAATGGTTGATCAAAAACTAATTCGATAAAAAATACAGTGATATAATCATGAAAACCTGAACACGAACTTTAAAGTCTTTAAAGTCATTTTAAAACAAGATTGGCTCAAACAAAATTAATGAGTCGTAAGCCGAATTTAAGCCGAGTGGTAAAATGGCAGTTTCACCAGTTTCTTTCCAGCTTATAGACCTTACGACAACGAAAAAGAAAATGCAAACAAAACTGACGATAAGCAGACAGTGGATGTTGTGGGTTTCACAATGGTAATGCTATTATCAGCAATAAAAGATGAATTTCATACTCACAAACTGACAAGACGAATACAAAGAGCGTTCTGACCGCCATTAGCCTCAAATTATTTTTCAGGATCATTACTGACCAGCTTATAATTTAAGGCAAGATCTCCTCTTCGTGGTTGACCAAATTATGTCAGGTATGCTTTCTGAAACCAGCAATTTCACAAGCCACCCCAGCGATTGACTTCAGTCTGTCCGCTATGCGAAAGATGGTTGTTTTTAAAGTGCAGTGTAAGCATCATTTTAATAACCATAACTGGCCTGACAGATGATTGACATTTTATTCCACGGAGATGACTGGATTTAAAAGTTAATCAGTGAAAAGGAAAAAAAAAAAAAAAAAAAAAGAAAAGAAAAACGTATGGAAGTTAGATGCTTTGCAATTAATGTAAATATCAATTTCTTACATGTACTAAAGTGGGTTATAATTATAATCATGTGTGATCCCTCATAGGCGAATGAAATTATGAATGAATAAATATTTGAATGAGCGAATGAATAAATGACTGACCAAAACGACAGTACACAAAATACTTAATGCATCTATGAGGACACTAATATTATATTTATTCAACTCATATCAGAATTTATCTAACGTCACTTTGTTTATTTATGGAGCGACAGTCTATATAAACTAACATCAAATAAGACGGTAGTGTCCCGTGTGTTCATTGTGACTGTTTAATTATTATGGGATATATTGTAGCTAGCATGTGGTCTCGAGATGTCAAACGATTAAAACACGTTGTTGTTATGAACCAAGTTGTTTAGTGTATTAGGACGAAGACACCACATTTGGCGACGAGGAAAACGGATATTTAACTTGCCAAACGGCTGCTGAAGTGGAAAAGCGTTTAAACGGTGGACAAAACTCGCACAGATGGCCGTTTGCTTGACCGGATTACCTGGATTGCCTGCGTTCGACGCTGTCGGTGAACCAGCTACCCTTGCATAACGATGGCTAACTTGGAAAGACGAATTTGAGCTCTATGTTACTGCCTCTGGAATCAGCGACCCTACACAAAAAAGAGCGCTACTACTTCACCTCGCTGGACCCAAAGTCCGAGATGTTTCCAATAATTCGATTCCTGCCGAAGCACGACGCGAAGCGAATGATTACGAAAAAAGCTATGGACTGCCTCTCGGAACACTTCAAGCTTTAAAAGAACGCTCCGATGGCCCGACAAACATTTTTAGCGGCTACTCCATTAGCTAGTGAAACCATCAACAATTTTATTACTCGCCTGGAAAAACTAGCAGAACATTGTGACGACGAGGGCGAAAGGGACAATCAGGTGAGAGATCGCGCCATTTATTTCCTGAAGGACAAAAATCTCAAGTCAAAGTGAGGAAACACTGACTCTCAGGAAACTCATTGAAATCGTTAGTCAGTACCATGGCCATAGTTATTCCATGACAACGAAGTTCTTTTTCTTATCCCCGAAAGTTAAGTAAACAGCTTGACCAGTGATCCAAAACAAGGGGGAAAATGTTGGTGATGCGATAAAGTAGGTCACTTCGCGACAGATTGCCGTCGCTCACGTGACCACAAGTGCGGAAAGTGTGGCCCAAAAGTATTTCAAGGGCAAGCTCAAAGGGTATCAGCTAAAACTCCACATTGATGAGAATCTTCAACCAGGCTCTCAGCCAGTGCGCAGAATTTCCCTTAGTAGAAGAGCTAAAGTCACTGAGAAGTTAGAAGAATTGCTCAAACTTGGTGTCATTGAAAAGTGAAGAGACCAACCAGCTGGGTGAATCCCTTAGTTGTACGTAGTTGAGAAATGGGGACATCAGAATATGTCTTGACATGAGGCAAGCAAATCAGGCCATTGTACGGGAGAAACACCCAGTTGCAACAGTTGAAGAGACACTTCAAGAGGTCTCCTATGCCAAAGTTTCTCCAAGCTGGATCTAAATATGGCTTTCCACAAAATTGAGTTACATCCAGACTTTAGGGACATTACAACATTTGCTGCGCCTGATGGTTTATACAGGTACAAGCGCTTACTCTTTGGCGTGAACATGGCCACGGAAAAATTCCAATAAATCGTGTGCACGTGGCAAGTAATTAANGAGAAACTAGCTGAACATTGTGACGACGAGGGCGAAAGGGACAATCAGGTGAGAGATCGCGCCATTTCTCTCCGAAGGACAAAAATCTCAAGTCAAAGTGAGGAAACACTGACTCTCAGCAAACTCATGGAAATCGTTAGTCAGTACCATGACCATAGTTATGCCATGACAAAGAAGCGCTTATTCTTATCCCCGAAAGCCAAGTAAACAGCTTGACCAGTGATCCAAAACAAGGGGGAAAATGTTGGTGGTGCGATAAAGTAGGTCACTACGCGAAAGATTGCCGTCGCTCACGTGACCACAAGTGCGGAAAGTGTGGCCACATGAGTCATTTTGAAGTGTGTTGTCACTCCAAGCAGAATAAAGGACGAGAGTCTAGCCGCAGTTCAAGTCGTGGCCGTAGACGCTCGCGAACAAAACCCAGTCGTGGACAAAGAGGTGGAAATTCAAAGGAACAAATTGATGTACACAACGTGACCGGAGACACGAGTGCCGAGAACCGTGTAAGCAGTGATGATTTTTACCTGTTCAACGCCGGGAGCACTAATGGACAGAACACAATGGAACTCATGATTGACGATACGCTTGTACACGTTGTTATAGACTCTGGTGCTGGTTGTAATTTAATGTCAGAGGAAATATTCAATTTTGTAACGGGGTGGGGGGGNCAATGCTAGATTGTTGGAGTGTAATAAGAGAGTTTATGCTTATGTTTCTGTAGAGCCACTCCAGCTTAAGAAAAAGTATAGTTTTAATGTGCAGGTACCACAGATCCACAAATGGTTTACGTAATGTGCGGTAAGGCAGCGACTCTACTAGCCCGCGAAGTCTCCGAGTTGCTGGGCGTGTTAAGGGTCGGCGTGTCCAATAAAGGTTAAATGAACCAGAATTTGACATTTTTTCATTTGAGTTCAATGTGTTCATTAAGTATAAAATAAACATATTTTGAAGTTTCAAACGAATCGGACGAAGCGTTGCGGAGATATTGGAATGTGAATTATTTAATTATTTAGGCCCTGTTTTGTATCTTTCATAATCGTAGAGCGATCGGGAAAATTGTCGGAAAGAAAACTTGTGACGTCACTGTCGGTGAACTCAAGAAATGCGGGAAATTTGAAACTGTTTTGATTTCAAGTTCACCGTGAATTTCGGGGGAAAACCACTCAAAATCAAAATTTAGCACCTTCAAGTTCCTCCAGGACCCAAATTAAAACTTAAATAAGGTTAAATAAGGTTTGTATTTAGATCCAAAACCTTCCTAAGAAAAGACTCACTGACGCAGAAACGCAGCAATGTTCAAGAAGACAATGACGTCACGAAACAGAGTCTCACTTCCATTTTTCCATTGAAGTGCGCT